ATTTCGCAATAGAAGATCAAATCCTGGATGCGTGGTTAGGAATAGGGATGCACCGATACCGGTTTTTCGGTATTGAGTACCGATATTTTTTTTTATTTTTTTTCCGGTACTCGCCGATACCAGAACAGGCATCGGAGCATTTGTACGAGTGCTTGGCATCAGCACCGATATTAGTACCGGTGCATCCCTAGTTAGGCGCGCCTCTTGTATGGTCATCTCGCTTGAAGGCTCCTTCAGGTTTTTTTAATTAAAGGAGAACTATGGGGTCACTGTTTTTCCCCATAGTTCTCCTCAGGGTCACAGGAGGACACAAACTAGCGTCCTCCCGTTACCCTAAGCTCAGTATATAGGGAGCTACAGCTCGCGGTATACTGAGACGCCGGAGCGGATCCCGACTTAGATGACGGGATTCGCCCAGCTGCGTGAGTGACAGCTGGCTCTGCCTATCTAGAGGCAGAGCCAGCTGTACCCGCCCCTTCCCCCGACCGTTCCGCCAGTCAGCGCTGGCAGATGGGAGAGGGGAATCCAGCCCCTCCCCTGTCACGGCAGAGAGCTGTGACACGATGGAGAGGTGAGCGAACGCCGGTATGTGTTCGCTCACCTCCCGATCTACTGAGCCGACCTGTGACAGTCTCATTGTCACAGGTCGGCTAGAACTATGAGGTGAGTGGGAGTCACCCCTCCCCCTCCCCCCCTCATAGTTCTCCTTTAAACAAAAACGTCCAATACAGCCAACACTATTCGCGGGAATAAGACTCCCCTTTCCTCGGGGCATGTAACAATAAGTAGTGCTCACCCAGTCCTAAGCTTTTTCCAAATTCACGAAGTGTCAGCGTCACCGGTTTGCAGTGAAGGCTTGATCCAGTCCTCACTGCAAATGGGTTATGCCGACGCCCCGGTGTTCATCCAGCCGTTATTCAGACTACAAAGTACAACGTTTCCTGAATTCACTACTTCTCCGGGCTTGAGCAACAAGGAGAAGGGGAGTCCCCCAAAATGTGTTGGCTGTATCTGATATTTCCATTCAAATATTCAACCTAATTGAACCTTCACATAGGATGCCCATTTATTGTTGGTCGCTCCTAACCACACCTCCCAGAGGTCAAACCTGACGCACAATCTTTTTCAGAAGGCGATATCCCAGACTGCCCCCCAACACTTGTGGTAAAGGAAGAGGTCGGTGTGGAGTCTGACACGGGCCACCAATACATCAAGCACGAGAGATCTCTCAGCCCGGAGCCCTGCACCAAGATGACCATGCGGCTTCGTAGGAGTACCAATAGTTCTCAGTTTGTAAGTCATGGGTGGCCATTTTATGTCTTTCTCTCCATTATCTCTATTTGTGCGTTGCTTTCCTTCATAGAACTGCTACAATGTGATCTCTGTCATTTAATAACCTTCAATTTACCTGTTTTTTTTTTTTAGGTGGATTCCTTTGTCTGCCGCATCTGCTCCCGCGGGGACGACGATGAGAAATTATTACTGTGTGATGGCTGTGATGACAACTACCACACCTTCTGCCTGCTGCCCCCTCTTCCGGAGCCCCCAAAAGGCATTTGGCACTGTCCCAAATGTGTTATGGCAGTGAGTAAACTTAGAGCAGGAGGGAACATATTTTAAGTGGAAGGGGGGGTCGTCTTCTACTAGTAAACTTATACCAATTGACTATTATCTTAAAGGAGAACTATGGGGTCGAGGCTTTTCCCCATAGTTCTCCTCAGGGTAACGGAGGACACAAACTAGCGTCCTCCCGTCACCCAAACCTCAGTATATAGGGAGCTACAGCTCGCGATATACTAGGCGGCGCAGCCGGAGCTGATCCCGACAATTATGTCTGGATCCACCCAGCTGCGTGATTGACACCTGGCTCTGCCTATCTAGAGGCAGAGCCAGCTGTACCCGCCCCCTCCGCCAGTCAGCGCTGGAGGATCGGACAGGGGAGGGGGGATGCTAGTGTCTTATCATGGCTTTAGTAAACGCATGTGGGAAAGTGTTTGAAATTCTGGTACTTTATGGTGTTGTGATGTAAGTGGGAATTCCCCTTTTGCGAGTCGGTAATTCTTCACTTTGTATGAATAGGTCCTCATCTCTTAATCATGTTTCTTTTGCCCGCAGGAATGTAAACGGCCCCCTGAAGCCTTTGGCTTTGAACAAGCGAAGCGGGAGTACACCCTGCAGAGTTTTGGCGAGATGGCCGATTCTTTTAAGGCCGATTATTTCAACATGCCGGTTCATGTGAGTGTCGGCGCTTGCGGTGGTATCACCGGTGACGCTGAAGTTTAATCTGCTTATGTTTCGCATGCCCTGGCTCCTCCCCCTTCCACTCGTCAGCATGTTAATGTTTCTGTTTTTTATTACCTGCCTTGTTTTATTCCCAGTGATCATCACAGGGTCTCCTTCTCTATGCATTGCAGTTAGATCATGGCAAAACATCACTGCATTCTGCCTCGTTACCTGATGCAAGCAGTGGGTGGGCATGTGGGAGGAGTTATGCAAATATCAACATGCCTTGATTTGGGGGGATGTCAAGTCTGGTGGACTGGGTGGTCCTAGACAGGCTGTATTTGTAGGTAGGCTGCCCTAGGTAAGGCACACAGGTAGGGGCTGAAAGAACTCACTCGGAGGGTAGAAGGGGGTGACACCCTGCCGTGACGTCCTCTTATTGACGCCTGCGGGCGGCCATCTTGGTGATGTACGCAGTCAGAGAGAGGAGGAGACGTTCACCCGATGAGGTATGCCGCCGGGTCCCCTCCTCTCTCCTGACGCTGTCGGGCTCTCGGTCCATGACAGAGTGCCCGACATAGGGGGGTCTCAGTCATTTTGGTGTCACCTCTCCAATGGTGGCACCCGGATGCGGGCTGCTCCCCCCTTGTGACGCCACTGGGCCACAGACAGTCAGGCTGGGAGGTAAAAGGGATAGATAATGTTGGCCGTGCTCCAGGCAGGAAATGAGGCAGGCTCTATCTGCCTCTACTGTAAAAGTTGGCAACTGCAGACCTCCAGCTGTTGAGGAACTACAAGTCCCATGAGGCATTGCAAGACTTGACGGTTAGAGGCATGTTGGGATTTGTAGTTAAAGTACAGACGGAGGGCCGAAGTTGGCCCACCCCTGCTCTAGTGCATAGCCGGAGAAGCTCCTATAATGGTCGGCATGTGACTCTACACCTTAACGGCCTTCTTTCATTGTCGTCTGCCCGCAGATGGTGCCCACAGAGCTGGTGGAGAAGGAGTTTTGGCGTCTGGTGAACAGCATAGAGGAGGATGTTACCGTGCAGTACGGAGCCGACATTCACTCCAAGGAGTTTGGCAGCGGCTTCCCCATGCTGGACGGGAAAACAGAGCTGACCCCTGAGGAGAAGGTAACTGACGCAACGCCGCGGAATCTCCCACGTGGTTATTGGTCTCTATGGCTCATTCCACTCACTTGCCTTTTTGCTCCTCAGGCATATGCCACCAGTGGCTGGAACCTGAATGTGATGCCCGTGCTGGAGCAGTCCGTGCTGTGCCACATCAATGCAGACATTTCTGGCATGAAGGTGCCCTGGCTGTATGTGGGCATGGTGTTTTCTGCTTTTTGTTGGCACATCGAAGATCACTGGAGCTATTCCATCAACTATCTTCATTGGTCAGTATTTTCAGTTTGGAATATTGTTGGCAGATTTTGTTTTCTCTATCAATACGGTATATACTACTACACAACCATACCTGTATATATACTACTACACAACCATACCTGTATATATACTACTACACAACCATACCTGTATATATACTACTACACAACCATACCTGTGTATATATACTACTACACAACCATACCTGTATATCTACTATTACACAACCGTACCGGTATATATACTATTGCACAACCATACCTGTATATATAATACTACACAAACCCCAATATCCATGCCTCTGGGTTCTTTAACCGCCTTCCGGCCGGCAGTTTTGCACAAAATGGCTGGCCGGGAGCTTCCTGGATGTAACAGGCCCTCAATAGACAGCCTGTTAGCCCCACCCATTCGCACACACGCGCGGGAATGGATTTAAAAACAGTCAGCGATGCCTGTTAACATACAAGCTTGTATAACGTGCCGGTATGTGCGCCCCCCCCCCCCCCCCCCCCCCCCCTTTTTTTGCCCCCTCCCCCCTGCCCACAGACAGCA